AAAGTAAAAGGGCCTTTACCCGATTCAGCCTTTGTAAAAGTAAAGCAGCGTGAAGGGGTATCTCGCTGGGGCCCAGGACACGTGAAAGCAGATCAAAGGACAAGTTCTCTATCAAAGGGCACATCTAAATCTCAGCAAGAAATCAGTGCCAAAGGTTATTGCTGAAGGACATACCTGTTCGCCAAGAGATGCATGTGGGGGAAACGAGAGGTACCACTAGCCCAGGCCACCTCTTGTGTTTGCCACTAACCGGTAGGCCGTCTAACGCGCGTTACTGTTTTTCTTGCAGTTTCTAACTGGTCTTGGCCCAATCTTGCAGTGGACTGTTATTTCTGTGAATTCTAAACTGTGCAGTGGTCATAGGCACAGTTTTTTATTTTTATCCAGAAAATTCCAGTTGATTACATTCTGGTGGGCTACCTTGAGGACCAATTGCTAGCCCTCTCTTCTCTCACATCATTCCCCAGGAGCATGGTCCAGCTGGCAACAGGGATTGGATTAAGATCCTCAATCGTGGGGTGTTTTAGGCAGAGATGCAGAAAAGGAGTTCAATCTCGATTTTCTGCACTTGTCCACAAACACAGCCAAATTAAGGCGCTCAATCCAATCCTCTTTGCTAGTGGGACCTTGCCCCAGGGGGGGCGAGCCCCTTCGTTTTTATCCTTTATTAAATGAAAGGAAACATCCTTGGTAGAGGCATCTCCACGTGGGGGGGCTACATCTGGACTGAGTTGCTGGATAGTCCCCCTTGAAGATATAGGCGACTACAACTTTTTCTTTTTCTTTTTTATTTTTTGAGGATCACGTACTCATTTATTTATTTATTTTTATTATCTTTTTTTTAATATTATTTTTTAATTTGCCATTTCTCGATTTATGCGTGTCATTAAGGGCGTCGTTAGACACTCCTCGAGCCGTCCTCAGACTTCGAGGATGAATCCTCGGAATATTTTGCGTTTTTTTGAGGTGTCGTTCCACCTGTCCTCAGAGAATCGCCCTGAGGACGAATCCTCGGGGGCGTCCCGCGGCCAGTTTCATGATATTATAGACGGTCGCGAGGGTGTTGTCCGGCCTTCGGTTCGGGATGTCCGTGTTGGAGGTGTGGTGGTCCAGCAGGCGGACGGCGGTACTGCGTCACGGGGCGCGAAGAAGGAAATCGCCAACGCGGGAACGGCCCCGTTCGAATTTCGAAATTCGAATTTCCGGCATGCGGAACGACGGTGTGGCGGCGCACACGTGGGTCAGCGAGGAGGGGGGGCACTGCACGTCGCGAAGGGTTTCGGCTGCCATGGCATTGCACACTTAAGTGTCGCCGCACCGCCACCGTCTCCAGGGTGTTCGCCGCCGCGCCGCCGCAATCGGGGAGGAACATCGTCAAGCACGGCTGCATTGCTCACCTGATTGCAGTGGCCTTCAATCGCGGTGGGAGAGGTGCGCGCAGGTGGGTGGCGAGGAAGGTTGCTTTTCCTGTCCGAAGAGCGGAATGGAGGGCTGCTATCGCGATGGTCGTGCTGTGCTGTCCAGTGCAGAGAAGACAGCTGTTGCGGCGGCTGCTGTCGCAGTTGTCCGTCGATTCCAGCTAGAGAGGGCGGCTGGGCGCATGAAAGTGACGCTTTCAAGGCGGCGGCAGAGGCTTTTGCTGCAGAGGGTGTTGGACGCCCCGGACTGCGTTACCAGTTCTGAGGCAGTGCTTCAGCTATGCTTTGCAATAGGGTGCGGTGTGCTTCCTCGGTCGACGCCACGTTGGTGGATGAGGCGGAGAACCGTCTCGACTTGGGAGGATTTGCGGCTCTGCGATGACGCAACGGACGACTACTTCCGGGAAAAGCTCCGCATGTCAAGGAGAGTTTTCATTGAGATCAGCGAAGCCTGTGCACCTCTCTTGCGATGACAGGTTACGTTCTACAGGGAGCCACTTCCGCCGGAGCAGATCGTTGCCTATGCGCTTTACAAGTGGGCTACAGGAGAGTCATACGACAACAGCACCTCATCTTTCGGCATAGGCAGGGCTTCCGGAATTCTGGCCGTGCGCGATGTGACAAACGCTTTGTTGAGGGTGTATGGGGACAGGATATCGTGGCCGACGGGGGTGCGAAAACAAGTCGTGCTGCGGGCGTTTCTGGAAAAGGGCTTTCCAAACTGCCATGGCGCAGTTGACTGCACACACATCTACGTGGACAAACCGACGAACGCGCCCCGCAAGAACTACTTCGACCGCAAGCACCGTTTCTCCGTCATTGCGCAGGTGGTGGTGGACCAGGATCTGCGCGTGCTAGACGTGTTCCTTGGATATCCAGGGAGCTGCCACGACATCAGGGTGATCCAACTGTCGAGTCTGTCAAGGCGCACTGAAGAGGGAGTGCTTTTTCGTGGCCCGCCTGTGACGCTGCCGGGGGGGGTGCGAACGAACGGTTACATCTTGGGCGACAACGGGTATCCTCCTTCTGAATGGGTAGTGGTGCCGTACTAAGGAATCAATCAGCACCCGGACGAGGAGAGGTTTGACACCAAGCAGAAGGTCGCAAGAGGGGCTGTGGAGAGGGCGTTCGCGAGGTTGAAGGGGATGTGGAGGCTCTTCCTGCGGACACACAAGACAAACCTGGAAACACTGCCACAACAGTTCACGACAGTCTGCATTCTCCACAATATACTCCTCGACGCCGGTGTGGAGTTTGACGAGAATTTGTTGTGGGAGGTCGACGAGAACGGGGTGAGGCGCCGAGTGGACCTGGGGATTCATCGTCCCCTGCAGCCAGTGTCGATGTTGACGTCCACCGGTCCCGCCCTCGCGCTCCGCGACGCTCTGGAGGAGCGAATGAAACACATGTGATCCTGTGCACCGCCTGCGTCTTTCGCACGCATAATACTCCCTTCAATTCGTGTTCCGCCGTCTGTGATTAGTTAGGAGGGTTCGCCCTCTTTCGCTTTTGCGCGCGACGAAGCACATGGTTTTCCGTCGCGGGTGGCGTCTTTTTCGGTGTTCGTTGTTCTGGTCGACGGTAGTGTGCTGGTCCAATTCGTCTATGGTTCCTGGTGACGTGGCTCTGCGGTCGTTCGACGTCATGTTGGCAGTGGTTCGGTTACGCAGTTTTTCTTTGCAATTGAACGATGTCGAGGKGGGGGGGGGGGGGGCGGGGGAAAGGAGGGGGGTTGCGTTGTTGTCAGCTCCTCGCCGAGCTTCTGAGTATGAGGTTTACAGCGCTGCTTTTTTTAAAATTGAAAACTGTCGTCGAATCATGTACTTGTTGTGATTGATATGTGATGATTTCTGCGTGCATTCCGCTTCTTCCTTTCGTTCGGCCACCTACTTCTTTGTCAACTGCAATCAAAATGTCTGTCATTCACACAATGTCTGCAGTTTTGTGCAATTGATCATGATCATCGGTGACGCATGAATGCGGCACTGAAGATTAATGCACATTGAGAAATGAAGCATTTCAATGTTGTTGTTTTAGCAAATTCGGTATCATTTATTCTTTGTCGTTCCCGTTTTCGCAGCTGCACGCGATGATAACGACGCAGTCAATTCATGCATCCAACGAAGGGCCGCGTACGGAAGAAAAAGATGTGAAGGACACGGCAATCGCTATTAACGCATTGCATACATGAGACATCCACACGGAAGACAACAAAACCAACCTGAGCGACGAATCACGGACATGCGAGTACACAATTCTCACACAGAAAATAAGACTTCAATGACATACATTCCTTCCATGTTCAATATTGACGCGGAATTCGAAAAAAGGAGTCCGAATGTCCGCCCTCGAAGCGAACCATAACAACGACGGACTACAGCTGCCTTCTATTTAATAAATGACGTGTCGTGGACTGGCCTAATAGACAAGGCTTTGGAGCACATCTACGATCTCTGCTCCAACGAAAAACTAATCACAATGAAAAAAAAAAAAAAAACTAGCAGCTGGATTGCTGACACAATAAACCTCCACCTGCCTTCTACTATCACAGAACGCTAAAACAACACGTGCACGAAGATGACGACTGTTGACGTCGCGACACCACCGAACCGCGCGCTCCAACCACGACCATCGAGGACAACACGTGTAGCGCGATGGAGGGGTTCTACCCATCCGTCATGATGGATCGCTGAACACGAACGGCGACCGGCCACCTCACATTCCCCATCGCCCCACCATCACCCCCCACCCGACCCCATCCAGCCGCGGCCTTGCGGATGAACCACGTGTCACTTCTCGTCATCGCCATCGTCACCCGCCGGAGGGCCGCTGCCGATCCACCCGTGTTTTGCTGCTTCCGTTGCATTCTTGAGGGCCGCGTTGTGGCCGAAAACCAACCCACAATCAGCCCATTCCGGAATGCAATGCGGGTAATCTCCCAGCGTGAGGTGGGCCTTCCCCAGACGATCCAAGACGAGGTTGGCGCTGTCAACGATGTGCCTCCGCCAGTTGAAGATGTAGGAGCCTGCCGCTATGAGTGTAGGTTTGGCAACCATGGACGCGTAGAATGATGCCTCGTAGTGCGAACGGTCGTCGTCACCGCCCCTCCGCATGATCCACATGCACGCGCTCAACAGAACTCAGAGACAATCCGCAAGGCGCGTCAACCTATCCTGTTTCACGCGGCCACCTTCCGCCCATTGCCCGCACCAAACTGCATCTGTCCAGCAGTCTGCCAGGCGAAGAACTGTCGCCCCCTGCGGCGCCGCCATGTCGTCGTCTTCGGGCCTATCCACTATCTTAACTCCAGCGAACCACAGAGGCACGCCCATCTTCATCGCCAGCGTGTGGTAGATGAGCGCAGGGGAAACGACTTTCGACCATTCTAAAGCCTGCCAGACCGCTCGCGCGACGTCTGTTGCGAAGTCCACTGTCACGTAAGATTCTGCACGAGCGAAGCCAGACGACCTCGACGACGATTTGAAGATCCAGCCGTGGATGGCACGAAGCACCACTTTCTCCACGTTGCGCGCTCTACGCAGAGCCAGTTCACGCTGCGCAGGGTCGTCGATCTTGAAGCGCGGCACATCATTCGGCGGCATCACCAGCATCGAAGGCGGTTCTGCTCCTGCATCTCTGTTGGCGATGGCCATGAAGTAGTCCGTGCAATTGCCTACCGCTTCCCTTAACGGCTTCCCCGGTCCCTGACCCCAGAATGCGTCGCAGTCGATCCACAACTTCGACCTGTCTTCGAGGTCATCCTGTTTAATCACTTTCTTCACCATCGCCGAAACCGGGCGGTCGTCGTCATCATCGCCCTCCCCCCTGCCATCCTTCCTCCCATCATCGCGGCGGACGTCATCGACCCTCCCCTCTTCCGCAGCTTCCGCGACTCCGCTCCTGGTGGTGTTATTCGCCGCCGCCGTCCGACCATCCGCCCGCCGTCGTGTCAACCTTTTGCGCAGGCAGTGTTTTTTCCACCCCTGAAGTCCCCCGCCCATTGTAGCGCGGGGAGTGGCTGACGCGGCTGCACCTGCCCGACCTTTGGCGGAACTTGTCTCGCCATGCGCACGTCCGTCATGACAATCCCTGCCGTCTTAGGGGTTCGTGCCAACATGACGGCGACACCACCGACCAAGCTTTGCTTCAGAGCAGCCAGCTGCTCCCTCGACACCCCGTCCCGCCCAAACCCCAATCGACTCATGACGTCCGCCCCTTGTGCATCCACCATCGACACTTCCTCGCCCTGCATAATATCCCCAGTATGTTCGGAGCTTTCGTCATCGAAGCGCGGCCTTTTCGACTTCGGCACGTGCCCTCTGCCTTTTTGGCTTTCCCCACCGTCGCCCGATCCGCTGTTTTTCTTCCCCTTCCCTGAAGCGCTGCACAGTGCCATGTCGTCCTCAAGGAGACAAATAAGAAGTACGTGCCGAATCCAAACAGATGCGGCGCTTGGCTGACGTGGACGAAGGACCACGTGGACAACGCGAATGAAGGAGCGGTGGGAGGTCGATGACGGTCACCTTGGCGACGGACGATGTTGATGATGCGGCGCTTCGCTGCTGTGGACGAAGGACCACTCCGATGGCACGACGGTTGGCTGACGTGGATGCAGGAGGACGTGGATGGCCGCGGACCCCAAACCCGTCGATCGTAGCGTCGAAGTGGATGACTAGGCGTGCGACGACGAGACCATGCACAAACGGTGCCTTTGGAGCCGTCAGGATAGAATGGCAGCGGTACAGAATGCCTCCCGCAATCCCATTTTGTACGTTGCGTGGTCTCGCACCACATCATGGACATGCCAGGCCGTCCACTACAGCCTGCCCCTTCGTCGATCCATAACAGACGAAATTTCTCGCGGAGTGGAGGTCATCCTCCGCATGACGAACAAGGCACGAGGGCGCGCAGGAGCTCCCCGCAGAAGGTACAAAGACCCCGCCTCCCATCCGTCCTCTCCCGCCCCCAAAAAAGGCCTGGAGCTCCAATCCGCCATTTTCCCCTCGAGCCCGGAAAAAAAAAAAAAACACCCTGCCGCCTACACATTCGCGGAAACCCCCAAAGAACACCTTGCAACATCGCTATCCATGCGTGGAGACAACAACTCACAACAGCGGCCTTTAAACACTATCTACAAACGGTGGACCTGCTGTACAACCTGAGGACGCGCCCTTCACAATCGTTAATAAAACGTGCAATTATCACTACGCGCGAGCAACGACGACTCGCCGACTGTGCACAACCTACACATCAACGCACTGCACCATGGAGGACGACGGAAACGGCGACGTGCCGGAAGCGCATATGGGCCATGGCTTCGGACGTTCTACATGCGTGGTCGGCCCACGTCAGGCTCTTTCACGAATCACTTTCGCAATCTCAATGAGGGCGTTGCACATCATGAAATTCGCCTGGTCAGCCTTCTCGTAGTGCTCCTTCTGCACTTGTATCTCTCTCTCCAGAATGTCGCATTGCCTCGTCAGAATAGAGCACTGCCTCTTGCTCGCGGTGTCCACCGTCGTCGACATCAGCGCCCCGTGCTCCTTCATAACGTCAGCCATCGCCTCGAATGTCTGTTGTCTGACATTCTTTCGTTTGCCTGCCCCGCCACCGCCACCGCCACCGCCGGAGAACGACGAATCCCTCGTCGATCCGCGATCGTCGTCCGGACCCCCCCCCCCTGCGTCACTACCGCCGGATTCGTTTCGCCCGCCCGCCGGGCCATGCATTTGAACACCTCCCGGCGCACCCGTGTCCGCGAGATTCGTGGGGTGTATAGTGTGATCGCCCCCGGACATCACCTTCATCTCCGAATACACGCGCTCATCCATCCTAAAGTCGAACCCCCGCTCCCTCCTCTCCCCCGGCGTTAGTGTGAAGAAGTTAGGCTTCCCGGATTCTCCCATGAACTTGTGCACGGATTTGAACTGCTGGTACAGGTTGTCCCATTTCTTACCGCAGTCGACGGCCTTCCTGCTCGTCACCCCCATCTGCACGAGCCTCTTCTCCACGTCCTCCCACTTCCATGTCTTCGTCTTCATCCGTCCGTAGTTGTGCCCCAGGCCAGCCAGATGCGAATCCTGGTCTCTTTTGGCTCTGATAAGAGCGATCATATGCTCCACTTTCCAAAAATCCTTGTTTTTTGTTCCGTCACCCGCGGTCAATTCTTCCGCGCACTTCTTGCCTTTCCGCCCCGTGCGCAACTCTCTAACCTTGGTTTTCGCCGTAGACCCTTCGCGCTTCCTCCCTACTGGATGAATCTCCATCTCGCCATCGTCGTCTTCGTTGTTGTCATCACGACCTTCGTCTGCAGCGATCTCCTCGCCCCCTCCAGCATCGCAGTCCACGAACACGTCGTCGGCCCCCACACTCATTCTCGCCACCCCTCTCGTTATGCTGGACGTGTGCGTGGAACGCAATCGTTGTCGTTCATCATCCCAAAACTGATGACCGACGACCTCTGTAGCGGCGCGCTCGTCGTCGTCCCCTTCTCTGTCGATTGTACCGCCTGGCGTCGTCGTTCGGCAGCCAGCCAATCCACCTGTCTTCGTCCTCGACGCGGCCACATTTGTTGTACTCAAAGCAACCCGTCTCGACGAAACGAATCCACGGCTATCCGCAGGGCCAGCTGCCCTCACGGAAGGCGACGTGTGTTTGGTGGCAGAAGCCGGGTTCACGACAACCATGTGCGTCATGCCCTCGCCACTCCCAGACCTCAGACCGAAGCTCAGATCGACGAGTCCAGCGTCGTAACCAGAGGGGGTCCGAACCTCCAGCAAATCCGTGTACGTCGGCGTCGATTCGTGTCTGTACACCTGACTCCCCATCCAATCCTGCGTCGAACCGCTGCCTAGAGGAACTGTTGAGGATCTGGGGTCGTCGACGTCGTCGTCACTCGGAGGCAATGGAATCTCGTGGGACGGCAGGTGGCTGTACAGCGTCGGGTCGTACGGCCGCCTGCCGCCTTCCGCACTGTTGCAACGCTGACGCGAGGACCCCCCACCTTCCACCGACATCGCCGTCTTCGTCTTAAGCTTATCCATCTTCCTCGACCTCTTCGGCGTTCGACGCGTCTGTTTCCTTCCAAGAACGTGAGCGAGGAAACAAATGCGGAAGACGACAACGATGAGCAGCAGCAGAGCGACGAGCAGCAATAAAGGCAGCCTGCGGTACAGGTCTGCCATGAACGACAGGTTTGCCGACACAGAACCGTTGTCGCATTCGCGGCGAGCAGAGACACACTATGCGAGAGGGAAGACGCCAACGAACCAAATTCATGCAAGCAGCGACAGGGGGAGGACGCTTACAAAATCCGTAATTCCAACCGTTGGGAAGCCCGCGGGAACGCCACGAAACCTCCGGGCGCCGGTCGAAGACGTCCGACGATCGGCATGGCCCCTCCGTGGGGCAGCCAGAAGGACCTGCAGGGCCGTCCCGCGATTCAGCGCCAACGGTAAAACGAGCAGGCCGTTGCTGGAGGTTTTCGATGACGACGGTCAGGGATGTCCGTCTTCTGGCCGCTGGACCACCTTCGGCCTCCAATTTCCGTTCTGGAGTAGCCGTCGACACCCCGTTAATCGCGGATCCTCGGGCTCCAAAGGACCTCGCGAGGTCCTTCGAGTTCGAGGACGATTTGGCTGGGAAATCCTCGGAGCCCGAGGATTTTTCCTTGGACTGTTTTCACATTTTCATTTTCGATGTCATCTCCGAGGACAGGTGGAACGACGACGGAATCCTTGGAATCGTGTCTCCGAGGAGTGTCTAACGACGCCCAGGGGACATGCTAATATTCTCTGTACCGTTCCAATTTTAACGGATGTCCCTAAGGACCGTACACATTTATTCCAAATAGGCCCAGGGGTCTGGTCCCACCTACCATTGTTGAGTTCAGAAAACTCAACGGTGTGACGCCAATTTTAACGGATGTCCCTAAGGACCGAACACATTTATTCCAAACAGGCCCGGGGGTCTGGTCCCACCTACCGTTGTTGAGTTCGGAAAACTCAACGGTGTGATGCCATTTCGACATTAATAAATTCGAAACAAGAAATAAAAAAACTGAAAAAAAAGCTAGAAACAACTTTTCTCCTTCTTTTTTATAACGTAACTCGAAGAAATGAAACATGTCTGGAACAGTCGGAGTGAACGTCTCCGTGAAAAAGGGATACTCTTCGTGGTGACGGGACAGGAGGTCACCATTTGTAAAATGGACAAGGGCAAAGTGGATCGCCAAATGCATTCATTGCCCAAAGAAGGAAACGAGTTTTATGCCAGACAGCCAAACACAGTTGTTAGAGTTTCTCCGTTTCAGGATGCAATGAGGTCTAAAAAAAAAAAAAAAAGGAAAGGCACTGCAGTTGAGAAATGTACCCTACCCTCCGTAGGGTAGTTTTCTCAATGGAAAATGGCTTCCCGCCCAAACCAAAAGGGCCAACGCATACCACAAAACGGATTTCACGTCAAAGAAAAATTCTACAAAATGACTAAATCAAATAGGTTATTCAACTTATTCTCTTGTATTTTGGTACCGTTAGATTCGCAATACATCAACGGCAGAGCTCCATCCCATCATGTCACACGTGATAGAAAGCTCAGCGTTGAGAAAACTCAATGCTGTAGGTGGGACTAGACCCCAGGGTGATTATAGCTTGAGGAGCTAGGCTACCAGCCCGGCCGCCCGGGTCACCCTATTTTCCTAAGCGGCCTGGCCGTGCAAGGACTAGTGAAGGTCCCAGCCAAAAAAAAAAAAAAAAAAATCCAAAAAATCCGAAAACAAAATATGTTATGCAGAAAAATAAACTAAACAACTTTTGCTGCACTGCCCATGCAGGGTCACATCGAAATTCTTTACCAAATCTAACACAAAATTTTAAATAAAAAAGTTCAAAAAAATAATTTTTATTTTTTTATTTTTCTACATCTTTTTGGCCTGGCCGGGCAAGTGGGGTTTTTCATCTAGTTAGCACCTTTGACATACCGGGTTGGCAGATGTGGTAATCTGTTTTTTGTACACTGGCAGAAACTATGACTTTTTTTACCCTGGAGTTTGCCGAAGGGTCTGTTGGCTTTTTTGATGCGATTTGGCGGTAACGTTACCTTAGGCCGGATTAAAGGCTCAAATTGAGTCATATGGGTTGTCCGGATGCAGTTGTTTTTTTAAAGAAGATGAGGATGCGACTTTGGTGTGGACCTGGTGCGGTTTAGTTACGTGTCATAAGATGAAGTAGGAGTTATGATGGCGACCTGTGAGTATTCAGACCAGATTAAGAGGTTGTAACAAAGACGGAGGTGCTGTCTGGATTCGGTTGCGTTTTGAGGAAGCATGTACGGAGGTTGGGCTTGGAGGATTACGACCCTGTACTTAGTATATATGCCCGTATATTTGGTCATATATTAACTGTAGCAGGGTTTTTATTTTTTATTTTTTATTTTTTATTTTTTATTTTTTATTTTTTATTTTTTACCTTTTACTTTTATTACGATATTTCGAGTAGCTGTTGTCTCTTTTTTGTTCTCCGCAAGATACATAACCAGTATCATTTGCCCTTAACGACAACACCCCTGATGATCCTGGTTTGGCGGCCAGGTGAAACCGGTAGAGTCCATCGCCAAACGGATTCTTCCGTTAGTCGTGCTTTCCTTCATAATTTTCGAAACAAGTCGTGTTCGGGTTACTAGTACTACTATTGTCTTGCTCCATCGCTTCTCTCCCTCCCTCCTTCCTCTTCTTCCTTGGTTGTCGGCTTCCTCTCTTGATGGTGTCGTTGTGGTTGTGTTGAAACCCTGCTATCACTTGTCTTTGGATGACTAATAGATACTTTCTTTAGCAGAGTAACCGACGTAGGGATAGTACTACGGATTGGTGGCTTTGAGCATCATGGCGAGTAACTTCAACAACAACGCTCCGTTCAGAGGTAACTGCTACAACTGTGGTCAAACCGGCCACATATCAAGGTTCTGTCAACTACCGGATAGGAGGCTCAATGTCGCTACTCAAACGAGCTCTGCCATTGTTCCGTTTGTGGCACCGGCGACGAATGTAGCTGCTAATGCTCCTTATGGTGGTCAGTTTTCCGGATCGGGGTATCTTCGTCATCGGGTGGCCACGTTGGAAGACACTGTCCTTAAGATTAAGACAAAGCACGAAGCGGATGAAGCAAAAGAAAAAGCCGAGCAGGAGAAAGAAGACAAAGAGAAACGCGAGAAAGAAGAAGAAGAACGGAAGGAGCGTGAGAGACGTGATAGGGAGTCCTTTCATGGTACCATTACCAAGAAATTGTCTACGAAACTCGATGCAGTAGTCGGCGCTATCGAAAAGAAAGGTGGGGACAGCAAGGTGGCTAATTGAAAGCTGAGATTGAACGACTGAAGTGCGCTCATTCTATCGCTGGGCCAAAGGTTTTTTTTGAAGTGAAAGGCGCGCCGTCAGTATTTCGTTATGGGTCTATAGTGTCAAGTCTGCGGTAATGAGCCGTACCCGTTGGCGTCTCGCATTTCCTTTTTTTTTCCTTTTTGTGTGTTTCGCCTTAAATTAATAATAAAAATTATAGAATATTAGAGTACGGAAGTCTGAAAAAAGAAAAGAAAAATACTCTAGACTCTCGTTCAGAACATGGGGGTCGCGATATGAAGAGAGTTTATAAAAGAGAAGGGAGGTTGGTTATCTAGCCACTAGCCGTGGTAGCTCGCAGAATATTCCGCTGCGCCGGTACCACAGGTCTGAGGGAAAAGGGGTGGAGCGTTGGAGGCCAGTAAGGGCTATCTGTGTGCAGGCGCCTGGAAACTAAGTCCTTGGCTATTCCGAGTGGCTATGGCGGACCGAAATCGCATGCGCGATTACAGGCCTAGATATATGAAGTACTCTAGGATGTGGGAGAGAGAGGACGAGAAGGGTACTATAGTGGAAACCATACTGACCTACGGTAAGCCTGGCAGGGAAGTGAGGCTAAAAGTTAATGTGTGTGGCCATAGAGAGCAGGAAATGAGGAGAGATGAGGGTCTGCAGGCTGCAGTTACCGAGGCGCGTAACAAAGCCGAGCGGAGGTGCAGGCGTGACGGGGTAACTGCAGGCATGCGGGTAACGATCACTTACCACGAAGGTGACTCATCGACGGGGACTACTGACCGAGAGGTACAACACAATGACCGAGACTCCGAAGGGGAGTCAGAGATGAGTGACAGGGAGGCTGATATCCAGGTCTGGCATGAGCTGGACCAGACCCGCCGAAACCAACCGTTGGCAGGCCCAGTGGAGCGCGGGCCCGAGGTGAGTTCGCGACAGCGGGGAGACTGAGGAGAGTACAGTGGTACGGGCACATGCTCGGGTACTTGTCTGACACGTGGCGCGGCCTAGGGGGAGCAAGAGGGCGGTCAACGAGAGGAGTGAGAGGGAGAGACATTCAGGCATGGCGATCGAGAGGAAAAGTCAATGTTCGTGCAGAGAGGGCCTCAAGACGACGGTGAGCCAGGAGGAACGCCAACCTTGACTGGCCAGGAGAGCGAGATCATTCCCTTCTTCGTGGACTCTGAGTGAGGTTTGGTTGAAGGGTTGCCTCATCTTCCATCTCCTGGAGTACCACGAGACTGCGACCTGTGCAGCATCCTCCCAAAGACAGGTAGGCGGGGAGATGCCACTACGAGTACACGACATACGGACAATACGTAGTTACACGCGGGTGGTCAGTTACTCGGAGCGTATGTGAGCGTGCTAGAGAGAGAGGATGCTAGACTTCGAATGCACTCAATGTACTTGAGAGTTGCTGTTGACGGCATCACAAGGTCGTCCTACTGCTTTTCGTAAGCTGTAAGCTGGCTATTGTTCGCCATCCTTGGTGCGGTGGCGGTAGAGAGGAGGCGCGTTGGCAAGGTGGAAACAAGGTAGTTACGAGAATAGTGCGTGTGACGATCAAGAGAAAGAGAGTGAGGGTTGGTTGGGCTGATGAGCCCATGAAGGTAGTCTCCTGACGACGTCGCGAGGGAGAGGACAAGATTGACAACCGTGAGAGAGAGAGGGAAGACGAGAGTTGCGTGCGCGGCTCTCTGTTGACATCAACATTCACGAAAGGGGACATCGTGACGACGGAAGGAGGGGACTTTCACTTGAGAACAATGCCGAGAAGAGAAGGCTCAATAAACGCCTTTTCTTGATCCTGTTTGCTCTCTAGCATGGCGTGCCTCAATCTTGATGTTGGTTCATCTCTACTCTTCGGCCCCGTTCTACATTAGCTGTCTTTTTTTACTTTTTCCGAGTGGCAGGTATGATGCCTCTTGAGGCCCCTTGAGGGAACTATGAGTTACTCGTATTCTGAGCATTGTGCACATCTGAGCGGGGTCGCTATTAGTTGTTATCTCCACTGAGTACAGTCAGCCCTCAGTCCGATCACTCTTCGGTGGATTACTGATTATCAAGAGTTGTCCAGAAGTTAAGGATGGTAAGAAATGACCATTGATTAGTGAGTTCACTGATTGAAATCAGGCTGAGGGATTGAATGAACGAGGTATGCAACGGGAGTTGGTATGAACTTTATGCACCCGTTGATATTAATACTGGAGGGATGTTACAAAAGAGTATTAACCGGGGAGCTAAAGGAGTAGTAACAGTCAGGTATGTATGAGTGTTGTCGTCAGAGATTGACGGAGTCACTAATTAGTGGCCTCGACTGAGCATTCTCGGAAAAGCTTGGATGACTGTTCCTACACTCGTTAAAATGTTGGAGAAGAAACAATGGGTTGTCGTTGGCAATGTCTATAACATATCAGACAAAGGTGAGACCCATTGACTTGGCTTTGATCTTGTATAGACCCCTTGTGAGTGCAGGGGCTGATT